GAGAAGCCAGAAATGGCCCCGGAGCATCTCTCCTGCCACACTGGCTGTGAGCCCACCCCCAATTTGTTCGGTGTTTTGTGTCCATACTCTTGCAGTTCTGTCCTTGGACTTGAGGCCTCTGAACTCTGAGGTGGGACTGGCCCAGTCGGAGACTGCTGTCCTGGGAGGGAGAGGGAGGGGTAGGAGGGAACATGGGCGCACCTGGGGAACCTCGCCCAACACTCCCGTCTCCAGGCTGTGCAATTCAGAGCCTCCCCACCCACCCCTGCTTCCTGTACTGTCCTCTTGCCCCCCAGCACAATCGGGGTTAATATAAGACGTGTGAGAGCTTCTCTGGGTCGGGGTTCTTCCAACAGTCATTGCAGAGGGTGTTTCCTGGAGCACGTAGGGCTTAAGGGGACTAGAGGTCAGGTCTTTAAAATGATGAGACTCACCTTCTCAGCTGCTGAATCTCAGGGGCCTAGCTCCACACAAGGAAATGGCATCCTCCACCTCAAGTCCCCAGGCGACCTGGAAAGACCGCACTCCTGGGAAACAAAGCCATCCTGTGTATCCAGTCACCCCCACCCCCACCCAGACCAGTATCCAGTTTTCTGATACCCAGTTTTCTGACAGTGTTAAAATTCATTATGGGCTCCCAGGCCCTGGGTGGGAGCCTGGTTTCTGATTCTCAGGCTCGCTACCAGTGGGAACAAGGAACAATTGCCCTGGCAAGAGAGAAAGTCCATCTACACATCACCCCGTCTACTCACCACCTGAAAATAAACATTAGGGCCGTTACTCCACCATATCCGTCCTGTCCTTTTGTTCTTGCAGAACCATGGGAAGAAGCCAAGAGTTCAGAGCTCTGGGAACACAAGTTTCTTTGCCCTTCTTCGATTAATTGTCCTAGATAATGAAAGCAGGTGATGGCTCTGGTTGTGGTGGCAACAGCCCCTACCGGCAGGCTCCTCTCCCTGTGGACGGCCTCAACCCAGAGGGTGTGCAAAGGCAGGACCCATGCCAAATACAGCGCAGAGGCACCGTGGTCATACTGGGCTTTGGGGGGGCGGGTCATTCTAGGCCTTTCTCTCAGCAATGTTCTGCAAGGGAAGCTCCCTCTGTTAGGGGTTCAGGGCAGGAGGCTCTCTTCAGAGCCTCAAATAATGTCAGAATGGCCTTGTTTGAATGGAAGACTCCAGGTAGTGATGGCAGACCAGATGGGATGGGCATCTTAGGGGCAAGTTAGAGTGCTGGCTGAGGAGCGGGGTCCAAATGGAGCTTTGGAAAACCCAAAGTGTCTCTAAGGTTGGAGGTTCCTCCTAGGTTAGACCCCTTCTTGTCCAACCTTCCCCAGTAATCCTTACCCTTCATATGAACGTGCACCTCAAAAGTCTGTCCTTTTCATATATACTGATTCTTTGGATGGCCCCAACCACAGATTCTATACATAATCTTCATAACACCTCCACCCAGAGGAATGTCCTTCTTCTACTGTATTTCCTATTGCTTGAAAATTCCCGAGTTCCCTAGATAACTTCGTCTGCAGCCCCCACGCCCCAGAGAGTAGAAACTGATAAGAAATGTACATCCCAGTCCCCATCCTGCTCCTAGTACCATTCTGGCCCCACACGGATGCCGGGATGTGGGCCCCTGTGCTCTCTAGGTTCACCTGGACAAGGCTCCTTCTTTCCTGCACATATTTTGCCTCCGCCAACAAGGAACAAGGATCTAAGAACAGATGCAAGGTGGTGTGGTGTACAGGAAAAGGATGACTCAAAGATTAGTCTATTAATTCCTTCCCCACCTTGGAGGTGGGTGGCACATCTACCACCTAATTTTCACCACAATTTCCTTGTCCCTTACCCCTTGCCTCAGCCACATATACATACACAGTTCTCATAAAAGGGTGGAGGTGCCCATTCTTGCCTGGAATCTCGGGTTATGATGACATAACCCGAAGAACAAGTAAGCATACTGTTCTCCCATAGAATGGAAGTTTTGTCTCTCTCGAGCTTCAGGTACTCTGGGTAAGAATGTGAACTATCATGGCAGCAAGCAGAGAGCACAGGGCCTGTGTCATCAAGACCTGGCCACGCAAGGCCCAACCCCATGAGCTCTCTCCAATGCATGAATCCCTCAAAGAATTGCTGAAGGGGTAGGAGGTCACAAGTAAGAACTCGGTGAAAGAGAAGAACGGGGCGGGGGGGGGGGGATATTAGCAACACCTGGAGGCTTCTGGAAAGTTGCGGCCTTGAGAAGGAGCCTAGACTGCACTCCGTGCCCACCTCAGATGTCCCCAGCCCTATTTCCTTCCTGCAGAAGAGTGAGGGGCACAAAAAAGCTGGTAAAGGGAGGGGTTAAAAAAAGGTTTTGAGGCAGAGGGAAGCCCTGGATTCTCCTGTAGGTGATTTCAAATGAACTGAAATGAGTGCTTTACAGTTGTAATCTTATTTAATCTTCACAAAGGATCACCATTTTACAGACCAGGGAATGCGGCTTCCAGAAGCCCAAGGTCACAGGCTAACATAAGTGGCAAACGTGACATTATACACACATGATCTCCCCTGTGAAATATTTCCATCCAAAGCACAAACTCAAGGCCACGGTCATCCTAGAATATGATGAAAACGGCTGACGGTAAAGGCCACCGGCTAGTTCCCACTCTGGGGCAGGCTCAGCAAGGAGGGACCACAGCTCCGTTAGGAAGGCGGGCGGGACTGGCATCCTCCACCTCAAGTCCCCAGGCGACCTGGAAAGACCGCACTCCTGCGAAACAAAGCCATCCTGTGTATACAGTCACCCCCACCCCCACCCAGACCAGTATCCAGTTTTCTGATAGCGTTAAAATTCATTATTGGCTCCCAGGCCCTGGATGGGAGCCCGGTTTCTGATTCTCAGGCTCGCTATCAGTCTGGAAAGCCCGGGGTCATTTCCAGTACCTCTTCAACTTTCATGGAACAGGAAACACTCTCACATGATGAGCTAGAATACCACAGCAAATCCGTTTCTGATGAAGCTGATTGAACCAAGTGCTCTAAAGTAATAGGGCCTCAAAGCTGCCCTTGAGCTTCCGGAGTGGAGAGGACCCAGGGAAAAGAAAATAAACATGAGGCCGTCCTTGGGAGGCTTCTCGGAACAGCAGAAAAGGAGCCAACGGGAAATCCATTTCTCACTGCCTGCATGGGAGGGACACAGGGGGTGTAAGGCATGTGCTATTATGGAACTTGAACCGAAATCCCAAGGTCCACACCCCAGGTTCCATTAGTTCTGCCCAGGTATCGTGTGTGCGGTTTATGAGGGCACCAAAAAAAAAGACCACGGTGGGCTGGGGGGGATGTCCTGCCATTAGCTTATGCTCTAGGAAGGTTCCCTACAAAATAAACTCTTTATTAAATTAGAAGTATGAGTAATTTAAATAAAAACGATCTTAATTTGTATAGAGATTTTTATTTAAAATACCACTTGCTGTGCTTATTTTAAGACTAAGGACATCTCCGCTAAATCTTAAATTTTACTTCCCTTTTACAAAAGTCTTTTTAAAAAAACCCCTCTTATCTAACTTGTTTTTAGGAGATGTAACCATATAGCAGCCATTTATTTGCAGCTTTAGCATCAAAATTACCAGCAGTCTTTTGAGAATCACTGATAAGGAGCTCTCGCTCTCACTCTGATGGTTACTTCTTGTTAGTGGTAAGGCTCCAATCATCTTTTCCCCAACCCCCTATGTTTCAGTCTCTCTAATTAGGTCATAAACTGGGGAAAATGAGACAATTTCAAGCTAGCCGTCTGTCTAAAAATAAAGATTTGGGGGCGCCTGGGTGGCTCAGTTGGTTAAGCGACTGCCTTCGGCTCAGGTCATTATCCTGGAGTCCCAGGATCGAGTCCCGCATCGGGCTCCCTGCTTGGCAGGGAGTCTGCTTCTCCCTCTGACCTTCCCCCCTCTCATGTACTCTCTCTCATTCTCTCTCTCAAATAAATAAATAAAATCTTTTAAAAAAATTTTAAAAAAATAAAAAATAAAAATAAAGATTTATTTCCCTGGATGAATACATGTTTGTTATAAGGAGAGGAGGACCATCCGTTCTGTCTCTCTCTAACTGCTGTTCCTCCTGGGTCCATCTCCCACTCCTCTCTAGCGGCTAAGTCTTTGACAGACGCTAAAAGCTTTCATTATCACAGGCCCTGCAGGTTTCTTCACTCCTACACAGCCCTCATCTTTAAAAGGCCTTTTGTGAACACACACCATTCACAAGCGACATCGTTGACTTGTGGTCGACATCCCTGGTGCCACTCCATGTTCCCAGAGCTCCTCTCTGGGACAGTCCACTCAGCCCACCCCCAGGGCTAGGACGTCCTCAACCCCTGAGCTTGCTGATCAGGGACCCTGAGCTATGCAAAGACATCTCTTTCCTTTCCTTCTTAACCTTCTTAACCTATGGCCCTTGGAAATATATATATATTTTTAAGATTTTATGTATTTATTTGTCAGAGAGAGAGAGAGAGAATG